TGAGGGAGGAGGGGTGAGGAGAGAGGAGGGGGGAGGAGGGAGGAAGGTGGAGGGAGGAGATGGGGGGAGGAGTGATATCGAAAGAGCGCTGTTGCGTTTGGAGCAGAGGGTGGGCGGAATCATTGGGGCAGTAGTCCGCAACAGAAGAAATACGTCCCAGAAGTCTCACACGCTCTCCCCAGCATCGCAACTCTAACAGGTCTTGTGAACGAAAGCGCGTTAGCCAGACAGGGCAGAACGTTTCCTGGGCCCTCGCGCACTCAGTGGCGGCGCTCGCGCTCCTCGGGTCATCCCTGCCCGGATCATCGCAAGCTGGTGGACCAGTTCGCACCGATTGGATTTCCATTCCCCAAGCAGTGCTTGCACTCAGGGTTCGTCTTTCGCTGGAGTAAGGAACAGGGCCCGGCCGTCGATCCTGGCGGCTTTTTCGTCGCCGTCGCCGCCCCGTCGCCGTCGCCGTCGCCGCCCGTCGTCTGGGCCTGGGCGTCGGTTCGGCGGCTATGTTGTCGCCGTCGCCGTCCCATTGCCGCCCCGTCGCCGCCTCGTCGCCGCCCGTCGTCTGGGCCTGCATTGCTTCGCATTGCTTTGCATTATTATGCCGTGCTTTGCATTGCATTGCATTTCATCGCATCGCATCGCATCGCATCGCATTGGACTGCACTGCATTGCATTGCTTTGACCTGCTTTGCATTGTGTTTCGTTGCGCATTGCTTTGTATCGCTGTGCATTGCGATACTTTGCATAGTGTTGCCTTCTTGTTCATTGCTTCGCATTGATTTACGTTTCGTCTCATTGCGTTGCATTGCTTTGCATTGCTTTGTATTGGCTTACGTAGCTTTACATGTTTGCGTTACCTTGCATGGCTTTGCGTTGCTTCGCATTGGATTGCATTGATGTCCACTGCTCTGTGTGCGGTGAGTTGCACTGTGTTGCCATGTTATGCTATGCTTAGCACATCACATAGGTTGCACCATATGTATCACACCGCATAGGCTACATCACATACATTACACCGCATATATGGTACTGCATACATACACACACATACATGCGTACATACATACATACACACATACATACAGACATACACATATATATATATATGTATATATAACAACGCATAGTACACCAACTACATTGCACCTCGTCGATTGCACCACAATGTTCGCAGAAGATATATTCCTCAGCATGTGTTGCACCACGTATTTCTTACTGCCAAGAGCACATTGTTATCAGGCCCACGCTGGCAAACATCGAGCAATCGTCGTGGAATAGCTTGCGTCCCAAAATTATAGCCCGTGATGTCATGCGATAGTTTGCGCTCGAGGACGTATTTTTGTGGAAGGGTTGCAGGAGCTCCAGCGCCCGAAGTTGTTCAATCATCTTGGCGTGGACGGGGTCTCGCCAATGAAGCATATTAACACCGATGACCTGCTCGCTCATTACGTGAAGTCCACGACATTGCGTATACTGTGGTTTCTCCCCCGCTGCAGTAGTTCTTACCCTTACTACTGCACTTGGGATTGCCCAACCATCTGTTCCCATCGGTGAATCAGCGCTCACAAAAGATGAGGGTGACTTTAGTGCATTGCTGATGCCCTTGATGGTAGGCATAACCCTGTCGATTCGGATGGAGCGCGAGGGTTCTTCCATCCTTGGATGCGGTGCTCGTGAAGTTTGTGTGGGCAAGCCGTGTGATCCAGGACCTTCTTTGCACCTGGTACTGGCGGATGGTATTCGCAAGACGCATTCCTGCGACAGCCTTCTCAGCTTTATGAAACAATCTGCTGCAGGACCGTCGGATCTGACTCCGAGGAGGTGGATCGAGGGCCAACCAGAGGAAGGGGATCGAGGAGGATCAGTCTATGAGGATGCACCGGAGGCTCGCGGCCGATTTGGTGAAAGCAACAAGGGCTCCGCAGCCGGCGGGTGGCATACAGTCGGGGCCCTGAAGAAGGAACCCTTTTGGCTGGGGAGGGGCTCCGCGTTCCGTAAGTTTTTCACAGCTTGGCTCAGGTTTTCCTTCTGTTTTCGATGGGAAGTCGAAGTTCAACTTATGGAAAAAAGGGGCCCCGTTCCTTAGTTAGGGTTCCTTAGGTCAACGCCCCGACTGTACTCAGACCTCCCCTCGTCGTGGGACAAGACCACCCGTGGATGTGCTTTCTGTCGGCCGCGCTCGGCCTCCCGGGGCTTCTGTCCCGGCCTCGGAGGGCCGCCAGCGAGACGGCCCGGCAGGCGGAGCTGGCCCAGGGAAGGGGTCTACATATGGGGGCGGCCAGGAGGGGGGCGATGATCAGGGGGGGGGAATATCATGGCGTGGGCCATGGTATTTCCTCAGATTTCATGGCGACATGCGGAGTTGGCCCAGGGAAGGGGTCTACATTGGGGGCGGCAAAGAGGGGGGCGATGATCAGGGTGGGGGGGAATATCATGGTGTGGGCCATGATATTTCCTCAGATTTCGTGGCGACTCTTATCATTTCATCACGTCCATGGCCCCCCCCCCTGGGCCGCGCACGTGCTGCTGGCCATGATTTGCGCCCTCCCCCCCCCCTCCCCTCTTGGATGCCCCCCTCTTGGCCGACCTCGACTATACCTCAGAGGGCCCATGCTGCCAAGACGAAGCAAGACGTCGGGCATCCTGGGGATGGCGCGGGAAGGCTTCCGGCCATCCACGTTGCCCTCGCAGAATCTGGGCTTGACAGATGTTTGTTTTTCAGTTCGCTGAGCGTCCCCCGGCTGTGAGGCGCAGAATTCCCCAGTCAGCGATGGCAGACCCTGGGAGGCATGCCAGAGGAGGCCACGTGCGAACGCCGTGCCCCGCCACCCCACGATGGCTAAGGGGGGAGGTGGGGTTCACTTCGCTCGGGAGGTTCCGAACGAGGCGGGCCCCACGCCCCCCCGTCAGACATCGTGGGGCGGTGGGGCAGGGCTTGCATGCGGCCTCCCATTCCAGCTGCTGCGCCCTCGCGAGCGCGTTCCAGGGGTGCCCGCGTCGCCCCGGGGACGCCGTGCAGCGCTCACGACGGGAGGCTCTTGGTCGCCTCCGGCCTCCTGGGGCCCTCACTGGGCCTGGGACCGCGAACAGGACGACACGCGATGGAGAACTGGGTCCAGGGGGGAGGAGGGGGCGGCCACGCGTAGGGTTAAGTCGGGCGTGTCCCTCTACAGGAGGAATTTCCGAGCATAGTCACAAACAGTATGGGGGCAATGTTTCGTGCCTTCTTGATTCTGTTGTTTTTTTGACTGTGATTTAATTCTTCTTCCAAAATCAGCCTGTAGGAGGACTGAGGGTAGGGGGAGGTGGGAAGGCTTCTTAGAAGCACCTCTGCTTCTTAGAAGGCGCGGGCCGGACATCTATAGATGCAAGGCCAGCGCCTACTAAGAAGCGGCCTCCTTCTACCGACTACACGTAACAGTGACCTTTCGCCGGAGTGACCTTTGGTGCGGGCCCAACGGGGTCCCCCGACCGCCGAACGCGATGCGGTAATAGCGTCTTGCGCGTTTGTGTGTTGGTCCCCCTCGCGGCCCCCACAAAGCCGAGCACCAAAGGCCACTCCTACACAGGGGCGAAGTCTTGCGTGCAGCCGAAAGCAAGATACCTTTCCGCCTCCCCCTCCCCCTCCCCCCCCCCCTCCCCTCCTCCTCCTCCTCCTCCTCCTCCTCCTCCCCTCCTCCTCCTCCTCCTCCTCCTCGTCCTCATCCTCATCCTCTTCTCTCCTCCTCCTCCTCCTCCTCCTCCTCCTCCTCTCCTCCTCCTCCTCCTCCTCCTCCTCCTCCTCCTCCTCCTCCTCCTCCTCCTCTCCTCCTCCTCCTCCCCTCCTCCTCCTCCTCCTCCTCCTCCTCCTCCTCCTCCTCCTCCTCCTCCCCTCCTCCTCCTCCTCCTCCTCCTCCTCCTCCTCCTCCTCCTCCTCCTCCTCCTCCTCCTCCTCCTCCTCCTCCTCCTCCTCCTCCTCCTCCTCCTCTCCTCCTCCTCCTCCCTCTCCCCAAGCCCCCCTTGTGCGCGCCGCCACCGGGCGTCCAGGTCTCTGGGGCCCTGCGGCGTGAAGGCATCTCCACGTCGGAGGCCTGGACCCCCCCCCCGCCCCCCGAGAAAGGATGCCTGGGCCCCTCGATGCCCCCTACCTCGCGTGGTGGCTTCTCGAACCACGGCGAGCCTCGGCCAGGGATAAGGTTCCTGGACGACGGCGACGGCGACGACGACGACGACGACGACTACTAAGACGACGACGGTCGAAGAACAGGCCTCCGAGCGAGCTGAGAGGTGACGAGCCCAGGGATCCGACGCCCCAACAAACATTAGAGCGGGCGGTGTTTGGCCTGTTTTCGGCTTCAGGGCCCCCGCCGGGCCTCGAGAGCGTCCAGAAGCGACTCGGGGGGAGGAGCTGGCCCCAGGGAAGTGGTCCGGACCTTCGGGGCCCATGCATCGACGAAAATTGGAGCAGCCGGGTGTCTGGGTCTTCTGGGTCTCCCGCTCGCTCGGTTCGCCATGTTCGCCTCGCCATCCCTCAGCTTCCCCGCGCTCTCCTTCGACCTGCCCAGACATCCGGCTGCTCCAACTTTTTCGATGCATGGGCCCGAGAGGTCTTGACCCCTTCCCCAAGGCCGGTTTTTCCTCCGGAGTCGTTTCTTGACGCTCCCGAGGCCCAGTGAGGGCCCCCAGAGGCCGCAAACAGCCAAAAACCACCCGCTCCAGTTTTTTGGAGCGTCGGATCTATGGGTTCCTCACCCCTTTGCTCGCTCGGACGCCTGTTCTTCGACCGTCGTCGTCGTCGTCGTCGTCGTCGTCGTCGTCGTCGTCGTCGTCGTCGTCGTCGTCGTGCTTTGTTTTCATCGTCGTCGTCGTCATCTTCGTCGTCGTCGTCGCCGTCGTCGGCGGCTCAGGGCGGCTGGCTGACGAGGTGCGTCCGCGCTCGGACGCCTGTTCTTTGCCATGTTCTCGCTCGCCTCTCCTCCCGCCTCCTGCGGCACACTGGCCCGGGCGCCGGGAGTTCACATAAGGCCCTGCCCAGCCCGACGTCCCTCAAGGCGGCGGACGCCAGGAGGACCGCCAGACCGCGCCCAGGGGGGAGGCCGACGGGGCGTCTGGAGGCGCAGGCAGGAGGAGGACCCACCGCCTTCGCTGCCTCGATACGCCCGTCTTGAAACGCAACGCGTACCGTGCTCGAAGCGTCCGTGTCAATACCTTGCGTGTTGGCTCAACCTGTCGGCCCACGTTTTGGCGACCGTATCGCGTGAGACCTACGTCTTCCGTCTACGTGAAGGGCTCCCTGTGAACACACGCTGCGGGCTGCCTGCGTGTTGCGTGCCGGGGCAGCTGGGCCCACGGCAGATCTCCGATGCCGCGTTTTTTGTTCACGGCGTGATCCCCAGCGGTGTGACCTCTGGATCGGACAGGGCCAGGACGAGGACAAGTCGGTTCCAGACGCTTCCAGAACGCTGTGAGCGCGATCCGGAACGCTCCGAGAAGGCCGCGGCGCCCGAGGCCGGCGGCGCCCGAGGCATCTCAGAGATTCTCGATTTATCCTCAGACCGATGATGTCCTCGTCCTGGCTTCGTCTTGCTGGACTTCTCCGCCAGGGAGCGGATCTTGTCCTGTCCTCTTGCGCCGGCTGCGGCCTGACGCTCCTGAGGTCCCCGCCGAGGGCCTTCAAGAGACTGACCTCCCGCCGCATTTTTTTTGTCCGCCACGAGGGGGAGGAGAAGGAAGAGGAGGAGGAGGAGGAGGAGGAAGAGGAGGAGGAGGAGATGGGAGGAAGAGGAGGAGGAGGAGGAGAAGGAGGAGGAGGAGCAGGAGCAGGAGGGGGAAGGAATGGGAGGGGGGAAGGAGGGGAGCAAGAGTTGGAAGAGGGAGGAAGGAGGAGGAGGAGGAGGAGGAGGGGGGAGGGGGGGGAGGGGGAGGGGCAGGGATAGGGGGATAGGGAGGGGGAGGGGGAGGGGAATCATGATGATGATGATGATGATGATGATGATGATGATGATGATGATGATGAGGAGGAGGAGGAGGAGGAGGAGGAGGAGGAGGAGGAGGAGGAGGATTCTGATGATGATGATGATTGTGATGATGATGATGATGATGATGATGATGATGACGATGCTGATGATGCTGATGATGACGCTGATGATGCTGCTGCTGATGATGATGATGATGGTGGGGCTGCTGACGATGTTGCTTATGATGATGCGGATGCTGCTGATGGGCAGGATGATGCTGAAGCTGTTGCTGCGGCTGCTGATGATGATGACGATGCTGGTAATGATGATGGTGGTGATGACGATGATGGTGCTGATGATAATGATGATATTGGTGATGGTGATGATGATGCTGATGATGATGGTGATGGTGATAATGATGGTGTCAATCATGCTGATTTCGACGATGCTGATGTTGATGATGATGCTGATGATGCTGACGATGCTGCTGCTGATGATGATGATGCTGATGATGATGATGACGATGCTGTCAATGCTGACGATGCTGCTGATGATGATTCTGATGCTACCGAGGATGATGATGCTTATTATGCTGATTATGATGATGCTGATGATAGTCATGATGATGCTATGTTGGTGAGGACGATGACGATGATGCTGATGCTGTTGCTGATGCTGATGATGATGTTGCTGATGCTGATGCTCATGATGGTGATGATGATGATGATGAGGATGATGATAATGATGATGATGATGATGATGATGATGATGATGATGATGATGATGATGGTGATGCTGATGGTGATGCTGATGCTAATGCTGATTATAATGAGTCAGATGATGATGACGGCGACGATGACGATGATGGTGATGATGATGATGCTGATGCCTAGTATGTCGATGATGAAGATGGTGATGATGCTGCTGATGATGACGAGGATGATGCTGTTGATGGTGATGATGATGCAGCTGCTAATGATGATGCTGCTGATGATTATTATGATTATGATGATGCTGCTGATGATGATGCTGATGATGCTGATGATGATGATGCTGATACTAATAGTGATAATGATGATGCGGATGCTGCTACTGCTGCTGATGATGATGATGATGTTGTTGTTGATGACAGTGATGGTGATGGTGATGGTGATGGTGATGGTGATGATGATGATGATGATGATGATGATGATGATGATGATGATGATGATGATGATGATGATGATGATGATGATGATGATGATGATGCTGATGATGATGATGATGATGATGATGATGATGATGATGATGATGATGATGAGGAGGAGGAGGAGGAGGAGGAGGCGGAGGAGGAGGACGGAGACGAGGACGAGGACGAGGAGGAGGAGGAGGAGGAGGAGGAGGAGGAGGAGGTGGAGGAGCAGGAGCAGGAGGAGGAGGAGGAGCACGAGGAGGAGGAGTATGAGCAGGAGGTTGAGGGAGGAGGAGGAGGATGAGGAGGAGGAGCACGAGGAGGAGGAGGAGGAGGAGGAGGAGGAGGAGGAGGAGGAGGAGGTGGTGGCCTCGAGAACGCCACCCACGAGGCCGAGAAGGCCCCAGGGGCTCCAACTGGACGCGAGAAGCCGGGGGCACCCTGCGCCAGGAACGCCCTGGACAATCCTTTTTGGCATCGCTCGGACGTGCGTTTGTTTTCCCAGCGAGGACCACCGAGGAGCATCTTGGGCCATCTCGTGGAGAGAGTGCGCGCACGAGACCGGAAAACATATGGCCGTGGCCTGGACGTCCGAGCGATGGCAAGCGCCCCGACGCCCTGCCTGCAGGACGGAGCTCGTCCGGGCCCTGCGGCCGCCCCTGCGCACGGCGCTGCTGGCGCGCCCGCTGGAGCTGGCGGCGAACGTGCACGCCAAGTCCCTGCTGCTCGCCTATGCCCCGGGGCCTCGCGGCGCGCCTCGGCGGCCCCCGCAGGGACCGCTCCGGTCCGATCGGGCCGATTCGATGCTGCATCGGTCCCCGCAGGCCCGCTCCGGTGCGGTTCTCCGATGCCCCGGCGGTCCGACGCGGCCCGATGCCTGCAGGGCGCTGTCCACCGATCCTGTGTCGTGCCGATGCGGGCTGGTCTGGCGCACCTTCCGGTTCGCTCCGATCTCTCGATGCGAGGGTGGCCGATCCTACTCTGGCAGGGAGGCCCTCGTTGCCGGTCGCGCTAGCCAGGCCCAACGACCGTGACATTGAGGTCTGAGATGAGCGCTTTTGCGCTTGGGGGAGCCAGGATTTTCAAATGTTCAAATGAGCGCATCTGAGGAGGAGAGCGCCTTGGAGCTTCCAAGAGCGCATCCAAATGTCCAATGTACGTGAGCCCTCACCGCACCGTGCCTCCTTGCCCCACCTCCACTGGCCTTCGGGGCTTCCAGTCCCCGAGCCCAGCTGCTCAAGAAGCTGTGTCAGCCCAGACACTGCTGGCACACTGGGGGGAACGGAGATAAGGAACAGTGTCAGCCAACCAATTGCGCTCATGGTGCGCTTCATTTTTCCAAGTCCGTCGGGCCCCCCCAGTCTTAGTGGAGCTAGGCGACCGCAAACAGCATACAGTTGAGTATATCGCAGTTTTGGTTATGCTTTCCACTGATCCATTTGCTGGAGTGATGCCAGCCAGCTCACACCAGCTGCACACAGTTCAGCTTCCGCTAAAGCTCCAGTCGGCGCCTGAGCTTAGGCAGTGTTGATCAAGGGCCACCAGCAGTTACACGAGTCGAAGGCGCGGTCGGTAGAGGCGAATGTGTCAACTTGTATCCGACCAGGCCGAAGCACGCTAGCCGTAGCACGGGATGCATCTGTGATCGTGAGGACAGGCCGGCATACTTAGGCCATGCCACGTTAGCAAGGACACAGCGCGAAAACATGGGCGAGGTGCAAACATCGTTTAAGCCACGCTACGGGCCAGTGCAATCAGGTTGCATGCAAGCCAAGGTTCAAACACGTCTTGAAGGAGGATGCAAGGGTTAACTTGAACGTCAACGCTTCATTCTCACAGATGGTGCGCGAATACGAGCGGCATCGTGACGGTCGACGCAACACTGACACACATTGTAAGGGTCGACTGGGCGATACGGATACGTCGAACGTTTGCTTCATAGGCACGGCAAGCTAAGATCGCATAGCGTTGATGGAATGATGCGTTTGACGGAATGATGCGTTTTCGATTCCCACAGCTGCGACAATCTCAAGTCATCTTTAGCTATGCGCTATACAGCGTGCGCGCTTTATCGTATTTCTTGGGCGAATGATGTGGTCTGACCCCCGCCATGGGGATGAAGGCAAGGGTGCATCGCGAAAGCGAAATTCACTTTCCTCGTCTTGTTTTTGCTCCCCCTCGCGGTGGGTTAGACACACATGGGGTCGGGGTGATGACTCCGAGCTTCCATGCTGGCCCAGCCCTTCTAACGCAGCGTGTGCTCGTTGCAGCCTTTGCCTGACGTCCAGCTCGCTGGAGCTACACCCGCCGATGGGAGTAGGGGGGGTGCGTTACCCAACTCTCGAGGGATGAACGAGTATCAGTGGCACGCGCGCCGACCTTCACTGTGCGTGGCACTCGTGTGCTTGTCGTACAGCAGCCAGGCATGCACTTCCTCCGCGGTTCCAGTCAAGTCGCCTGAAGGAAGCACAGTCCAGGTTCGGAAGGGGGTTGCTGCTCCTTGGGTCTCTTGGTTGGTGTTCCCTGCAGCCGACCTGGCGCAGCGCAGCACGCTGGAGGGGGGGCCTACGGGGCCGCCCGCAGGAGCGGGGGCGCCTGCGGGTGGCAGGTGGCAGCACAGCACGCACACACAGCACACACAGCACACACACAGCACACACAGCTTTCACACAGCCCTCACAACACATCCGGGGCTCAGCACGCATAACTAGTCTCCGAACCACATGCGGTGCAAAACTTGTTGCACGATGACTTGTTAGGGGTCCGCTCGCTGGCATCGGATCGTGCAGGTGACTTTTCCTTTCCGGGTCCGGCGGGCTCGGCCTCGGCGGTGCGGGGCTTGCACCAGCCGGGGTTGTTCACGGCTACCTGTTGGCCTTCGTGCCCGTCGTCCTGGCAGCTGCAGCTGCGCACGAGCCGCGACTTTCCGAAGGGACGTGCAGAGCAGCTCGGACTCTTTGCAGCTACTTGTTGGCAGGCGGGCACGGCGGCGTTCCGAGAGAGGCGTGTAGGGTACAGTGCCGTTTTTAATACATGCTCCGCGTGCGGATCATGTATTAAACATGCAGGGATTTAGCTTTAAAAACAACGATGAGTTAATGCATACATTTACTCATACATTAATCATGTATTCGAAATCATATATTTTAACAAATCCTATGTCTTAAAAACTGCCCTGTACTTGAGTACTTGTTGGCATCCGTGCCCGCCGCCCTGGCAGCCACAGCTGCGAAGGAACCGCGGCCTTCCGAGAGAGGCGCGCAGGGTACGACCAGGCAGTCCTTCCTTTTGGTGGCAGGCTCGGTGCTTCGGGCCGGCCTGCCGGCCTGTCTGGGCCTCGGCATGGTCCACGAGGGAGCGCCGGCCTCGCTGCGGCCAAGCCCGGAGGAGGAAAAGTCCAGGACGAAGACAGAGACTTGCCTGTCGCATGGATTTTTTCTGGGAGGGGCATCCTTCGAAGAAGGGAGAAACGCCATAAACATAACTTTGGCGCTCCGCGCGGATTTCTTGGATCCGCGCTGGGCCCCCCGGCGGCGCCTCCGGCGCCGCCCCTGGCGCGCTGCGCGCGCTCGGAAGGGGGGCCCAGCGCGGATCCCAGAACTCCACGCGGACCGTCGAACTTTTGCATCTACGTATGCATTTTTATTATTCCTCTATTATAGCATTGTTGTTCTGGGGAGGGGCATCCTTGAGCCTGCGCAGGAGTTCTCAAGCACTGCTCTGGCCTGGCAGACCGCCAGATGTGGGGCACCCTTCGGGGTGACAGAGGCAGGGGCGCCGCCATCGGCGCCGCTGCTTCCAGGCCAGCGCTGCGGTGCATCGAGCCTCGTGGCGGCCAGCAGGTGTCAGCGATGGCGCAATGATGGCGACCCACACCCGCCTCGGTAACCACTTGCGACCTTGCTGGTGTCTGCCTGGCATTGCTTCTCACTGACTGTCGCATCGCTGATGCCATTCACCAGCGGCGAACCTGGGCGTACCCGCGCCCTCGCGGCCTGCATTCTGGGGCGCGGGATCCCGAGGAAACGCGGTTACAGGGATACGTTCCGCGCGGGGCGCCCGCGGAAGAGAGCGCCCCTTGTCCGCCCGGGTCGCGGCCTAGGGGCCTGGCCTGCGAAGCTTGCCTCTTGCCCACGAGCCATGGAGGCTGACTGCGAGGAGAGAGGGGGAGGCGGCGGAGGCGCAGGATGAGGAGGCGGAGGGTGAACACGGGTAGGCGGAGCAGCAGGTGCAGAGCGTTCGTCATCATTTTGAGAGCCGCATTGCCACGCGGCCTGGCGGATCTCGCTGACAGCTGGGATGCCGAGCTCGTGGAGGCGCTGGTGGCTGCGGGGGAGAAGGAGGCCCCGAAGGATCCTCCTCCTCCTCCTCCTCCTCCTCCTCCTCCTCCTCCTCCTCTGCCTCCCTGTTGCAAGAGCACTGCGATAAACTGGCAGGCGGTGCAGCAGTAAAGCGTGTCTGCGTGTGGGCATGCTCAGCATACTTCCGGAAGCTGGAGCATATATATATATATATTACCAGTGGCGGGCTGTTTCTCAATCCCAGGACTTTGGGGGTCGGGGACGGTCGGGGGCTCTCCGTTCCCCTGGGAAACAGCAGCTAAACATGTCTACACCAGGATCTGCTTTGCTGTGCAAATTTCAGTTCGCGTCGTAAAGGAAAATCCGCACGCAGAGGATTTTCGCAATCTTCGGCCCCGAGGGGCGGCCAAGCTGGGGGCCAAGAGGGAGATGATGACTAGGGGGGGGATATCATGGCGGGGGCCATGATATCTCCCCAGGTTTCATGGCGCCTCTGCTTACTTCGTTACGTCCCTGCCCCTCCCTCCCCTCCTGGGCCGCGCACATGCCGCCGGCCATGATTTGCACTCCCCCTTCTGGGACGCCCCCCTCTTGGCCGACCCCGATACTGACTGACCCAGGCATGATCGCGTCGTAACGAAAAATCAGCACGCGGAGGTTTCTGGCTATTTTCGGCACGGGGCCCTCGCCGGGCCTCGGGGCCGTCAAAGAAAGACTCGGGGCGGAAAGCTGGTCCCGCTGGCCCCGGGGAAAGGGTCGGGACTTCCAGGGATCCACGCCGTCCTGAAAAAATCAGGACGTCGTATGTCTGGGGATCCATGCTCGGTGGCCCCCGGGGCCCGACAGCGGGGCCCGGAGGCCGAGCTCCTCCACTGCACGTGAGGGGGACCCGTCGCCCAAGAGTGACCCGTGGTGCGCGGGCCCACGGGGGCCCCCCAGATCGCCGAGGGCGCTGCGACAGCAACGTCTTGGGCGCTGATGTTCGACCCCCCCCCCCCCCCGCGGCCCTGCAAAACTGCCGCCACCAAAGGTCACTCTCGCCCAGGGGTCACTCCTTGCGTGCAGCTGACCTCGAGGAGGAGCCGCCGGTGAGCTCTGGGATCGACTGCCGAGGCGCCGACGTGCGTTGACGAGTGCGCTCCAGCGGGGGCCATGCAGTTGCAGGTCAGTCGAGGCGAGCTTTGCAGGAAACCCACGTGAAGGGATGGCACGAGAAAAAAACATATATATATATATATATATATATATATATGTGCGACGTCCTGATTTTTTCAGGACGGCGTCCCTGGAAGTGACGACCCTTTCCCCGGGACCCGCTTTCCGCCCCGAGTCCTTTTTTGACAGCCCCGAGGCCCGGCGAGGGCCCCCCGGGCCAAACATCGCCAGAAACCTCCGCGTGCTGATTGTTCGTTACGACGCGATCATGCCTGGGAAGACAGCGAGGAGGAACCGCCGTTTCTTTTCTTGCGCGACGCGCCTCGTCGGAGATGTGGGCTCGGCCGGCCTGGCCGCCCGCGGCACCGGTGGGGGCCCACCGCTCCGGCGGCCCAGGGGCCGCCGCGCCCCGCGTGGGGGGGGGCTCTGCGGCCGCCGGCGTTGGCCGGCGGCCGTGCTCTTTCGAGCGGCGGCGGGGCGCCCTGGCTCGCCCGAGGAGGAGGAGGAGGAGGAGGAGGAGGAGGAGGAGGAGGAGGAGGAGGAGGAGGAGGAGGAGGAGGAGGAGAAGGGGGAGGAGGAGGAGGAGGAGGAGGAGGAGGAGGCGGGGGAGGAGGAGGCGGTCCGCCCGCAGAGAGCCGACGCGCCCCAGCGATGTGGGGCGGCGGGATCTCCTGGCAGTCCTGTGGGCCTCCATATGGGGGCCTCCTCGCGGGGCCGATCGGGAGCGCGAAGGAGCGGGCCCGGGACGGAGAGAGCCAAGCCCCCGGGGGCAGTGGTGCGGGCCTCCGGGGGGCCCACGCGTCGAGGAGAGGGGAGCAGCCGGGTGTCTGGGCCGCATGGTGTGGGTGGGCAACTCCTCCTCCTCCTCCTCCTCCCTCCTCCTCCTCCCTCCTCCTCCTCCTCCTCCTCTTCCTCCTCCTCCTCCTCCTCCTCCTCCTCCTCCTCCTCCTCTGGTCCCCATCGTGCGCAGGAGGAGGAGGAGGAGGAGGAGGAGGAGGAGGAGGAGGAGGAGGAGGAGGAGGAGGAGGAGGAGGAGGAGGAGCGCGCCGAGTTCGCCGGCCGGTCGGCCAGAGAGAGAACAAGTTGCACAGACATGCAGTCAGCCCGCATCGTGATGATGGGCAACCTTCCAAAGGGTGCCCTTGGCATCCTTGCCTCCTCGGTCCATCCTTGGCCGCTCTCGTTGGCCGCGCCCCGCTCGGAGAGCTTCGGGACGGGCCGTCCAAGGCCCTGGCGTCCTCAGCGCGCGTCCTCGTGAGACGGGTCGGCTGCAGACCCACCGCAGGGGATGGTCCGAGAGCCCTTCTTGCGGTTGGCACGACCTGAGGCAAAAGGGGCAAAGGGGCGAAGGCGAGGCAATCCTTTGCAATCCTTCGTTTTTTTGCAATCCTTCGGTTTTTTCGCAATCCTTCGTTTAAGGCCCTCGAGGATAATGTAAAGGGGGCCGTCCTCTGTTCCGCGGCGGAGGGGCGGCGGGAGGTCGGCGGAGGTACAGCGAGGCCGCCGCCGCCGGCGGAGGCCTGCGGAGGGGCGGCGGGAGTCAGGAGCGAAAGAAGGACGTACACGTACATGAATCCACGCTGGTTTCGAGAGTACGCATTGCGCAAATGTTCGTATAACGCGGCCGGTCTCGCGGATCGAGGGGCCGTGTTCATGTACATAGCTGGGCGCGTACGTCCTTTGTGGGCTCCCTAGGGAGGTGGCGCAGGCAACAACGATGCGCCCCCTAAGAGATGAAGAAATACGTTTTTGGCTTCAGGGTTTCCGAAATCCGCCACGTGATCTCTCAGAACATCCCTGGCCGAGACGGCTCTGTTCCAACACGTCGGCGTGATGGTCTAAGAGCCTCGTTTTTGGCTCTTCGAATATTTTCTTCTGTTCTAAGAGCATGTCGTAATTAGTGGGCCTATAGGAATGCTGGGACGGTGGGACGGTCGGTCCCTGCTCAAGTGGTTTCTCCCAAGACCTCTTCGCGTCGTGTTCCTCGTTTTCAGCCTCTGGTGGTCCTCAACGGGCGCCGGGACTGTCCACAGAACGACTCGGGGTGCAAGCTTGGCCCTGGGGAAAAGGTCGAGACCCATTTTGGTCCGCCCTGCGAACAAATCTCGACGTCGGAGATCTGGGTCCTCCGCCTTTTGTGCGCGCACCATCTGCAGCAGTTTTTGACTCGAGCGTCTTGGGGCCAAGCCGAGGCTGCCTCGGCCCACACATATCTCGATCGCCTCCCTGTTGATATGTGCGATGTGTTTGGCCCCCCCGTGCACGGCCACGCTTTTCAGAGGCACCAGGTGTACAAAAGCCGCTCGACGACTTTCGTGTTCGGGATTGACAAGGTGAGCCAGGAATACAGCGTCCTCCGCATCAGGGTAACAGAGGACGGCGAGCTGGATCTCCAGGACGGCGAGGAGCGCTTCCCGATGGGCAGGGGCGGCTCTCTGCTTGAGCAGCGCCTGCGCGAGCTGGAGCAGCGCGAGGGCGAGCTGAAGCTGCAGGCCACGGCCTCCGGCATCATGGGCTTCATCAGGTTTCTGCAGGGCCCCTACCTGGTGCTGGTCACTAAGCGCACTCAGGTGGGCAAGATCGGGCACCATCGCGTCATGTCCATTGAGACGACGAAGCTCGAGCCCCTGTTTCCAGAGACCATCACCTCGAAATATTCTGGAGAGGAGAGGGCGTTCTGCAATCAGTTCGGCGCGCTGAACTTGTCCAAAGATTTTTATTTTTCTTATACATACGACATGAGCCGCACAGTGCAGCAGAACCTTGCCGACGCGATGGCCGCTGGCAGGGACACCAAGCTCAGGCCGCCAACCTCGGAAACACGATCCTTGAAGCACCACCGGTTCGTGTGGAACCACTACCACATGAAGCCTCTGCTGGAAAAACCTGGCTGGCAGCACTGGTGCCTTCCAGTCATTCATGGGTTCTTCCAGTACACCAAGTGCTCGTCCTTCGGCTGGGCTTTCGAGGTCGCGTTGATAGCGAGGCGGTCGCGCTTCTACGCTGGCACGCGGTTCCGCAAGCGAGGCCTCAACGTCGACGGCCACGTCGCCAACGACGTCGAGACCGAGCAGCTTGTCTGTGACGACTCGACGCGGCACCTGACCCACGGCCACGTGCTGAGCTTCGTGCAGATGAGGGGCAGCGTGCCGCTCTTCTGGTCGCAGGAGGTGACCGCCATGAACCCGAAGCCGCCGGTCCAGTACCCCCGCTGCGACCCGACGCTGGCCGCGACCCGCCGTCACTTCTCGGATCTGATGGAACGCTACGGCCAGCCCGTGTGCGTCGTCAACCTGATGAAGGCGACGTTTGCTACGGCGACGACTGCGACGGCGGCAGCGACGACGGCGGCCGTGGCGACGACGGTGACGACGACGGCGACAGCGGCGATGACGGGCCTGAGCGAGGCGCAGAAGGCGGACTCGTGCGAGGCGAG